AGCGATGCCTCCTGGTATATCCAAGTCTTTGCAAGTCCGGCCGCTGTCGCGAGCTGACGATGATGATGAGTCGTATTCCGACGAAGAAAGCGCCGCACACTTCGATTTGCAGCTGGTTTGTGACCGGCCGCCTGTTCTGGAAACCAGAACATCGGCGCAGGTGGTCAAGGCCGTTGGCAGTGCGATCCACAGGTGGGATCCGCAAAAAGCCTTCAGAAGCTTGTCAATTTGTCAGTCTACAGCCTCGTGATCTCACCCCAGGGCATTGTGGACATGTCTGGTAGACACGTAGATCTTGAAAGGATGGAGTGGATGAGGACTGCAATACATAATGCAGAGGGAATCATGAGGCCATGTCGATTGTAGGGCAAAATCTAGGCCGCACAGTTACCGCGGCTATTCGCTGTTTTCGTAATGTGTCCTGCTCAATTCTCGTTTAGCTGAACGGGATTTGTACCAAGCGTGAGGCAGACCCTCAAGCTGCGTTGATGCGGGTCCTAGGTTCCGTGTTCTGTGTCTCCTCGTCAGGGTGGGCTCCAAGTTTGGGGTCTACGATGCCTCCCTGTCTCCCGTGCCGGAAGATCTGGAGCATGAGATTCCCGAGACCCCAGAGGAGTCACCGACGAAGCGACTCTGGAGGTGGCCGGGGCACAGTAGGGTCTGAAGGGGACCTGGTCACGTGGTCCTGGGGCCTAGGCCGAGGGCGCAAAGGTGCAGTGTAGGTTCCTGTATTCTTTGGGGAGTCGAGGCGAACTGCTACCACGGGGTGCGACATGAACGAGATGAAAGCCAAACCCAAGAAGCACCGCGGCATGTGTTTTTCGCACAGCGTAAGCTGTCTAAGGTAGAGTAGCGTCTACCGCTTTCATAGGTGTTTTAGAATAATACACTCCGGTCGGGGTGGATTCAGCCAAGTGAGGCTGATACGCCGAAGGAGTCTGGATCTGGATAGTCGTGTTACGGCCTTGACGGCCGTCTCCAACAGAGGCCTCGGAGCAAAGCTCTCTCAAAGTGGGCTGAAGCTGGACTCATTGGATGGAGGCTCTTGGATCTAGTCCTGTGTAGTCTTGTGTTCTTGACTTTCTCATGGGATATCATGTGCAGCTAGTTAGTGGAGGAAGCCAATCAAGCTCTGCACCATCCTCTACGATGCAAGACCTGGGACTACCTTTCATCTTCAGGCGGAGCAGCCACCACCTGAACCGCTTAGCCTCCGGCAAGAAGCTGGGAAGCTTAGCCTCGCTGGCCGCCTCGCTGCCCTCCACGCCGCAGATCGTTGAAGACAGTCTCAGGCAGGAGGGTGCGAAAACCCGGGCATCGATTCTGGATTTCGAGCACCTCTTCGTGCAATACTTCGTCGAAGCGCCTCGGCCTCGCGTGTGAAGATGACTCTTTATCGGAACTGTCTTGATTCTTTAGGTGGTTCTATCGCGCAAGATGCCCGTGGTCCTTCAGGTCATGCCGTGCCGCGCACGCTTTGCTGGGCGCTTCTCCGGAGAACGGAGGGCTCCCGGCACGGTTCGTCTTGCCCAGCCTTCTGCATGGGAAGTTGCTCGAGAGTGGAAAGAAGTTCTGCTGGACCTTCTCATGCAACACAGGGCATTGATCTTGCAGCACTGGCCAGAGCTTCAACTCACCAGGAAGGGACTGGAAAGGAGGCTGAATGAAGAGCTGGTTGTCAAGGACGAACTCTCTGGTCCAAAGAGCCGTGTGCTTCTGACGCTGGCACCAGAGCAAGTGTGCCACAGACTCTTGTGGGCATTGGGTGACAGCATCCCAACCGAGGTGGCTCTCAAGCAAGTGGAACGTCGCTTGCAAGAGCATTTCCCCCAGAGTCAGGTGCGTTGCAGCGACAACTGGCTCTGGCCAGCAAGCGTAATCCGCACACTTTTTGGAATCACCTGTGTATTGTTGGTCGTGGGCCTGCGTTCGGCACTTCTTGCTGCGCTCATCGTTTACGAGACAGAGCCTCCCGTCCCCGGGAAGAAGCGGAAGGTGGACGTGTCTGGTCCCACCTGGGAGGAGCTGCTAGATCAGCTCTCCGCCAGACTTATCCTGGCATCATCTTTGGGATACCTGTGGTTGCTGTACGGGATAGCAGCGGCGTTTCCACTGCGCTCTTTGCACAGCCCATTTCAGCAGCCGGCTCAGTTGCTGCAAAGCTCATTTTCTCCCGCTGTCGCACATCGTTGCCAAGTAATTCCCCTCTCGGAAGCTGGTTCCGGCCTTTCCTGCGCACATGTCATGTCATCTTGCAAAGGTTTCCCTTAGACGCATCCTTTGATTCCAGCCTGTTTTCCACATTTCCCGGACTGGAGATCAGACATCCATTTCCTTTGTCCTGCAGGCGAGATCTGGGTTGCTTGGCTGCGTACTCCCGAACAGGGACGCTGCTCTTCAGGACTCACAGCACCAGTGCCTGGTGACGAGCGTTGCAGCGCTTCTCAGGGGGTTACGATTTGCAGGATTGCAGCTCCCATGGCCGCTTGTGGCATTCCTGCCGCAATGGCAGTGCGGTTTGACAGGCCGGTCTGCCCGGAACATCGCTTCGGGCTGTTGCCGTGGGCACCGTCCACCCTTGATCGAAGGCTGGGCTTGGGCCTACTGGTGCCAGCGCACGACCGGCCAGTCGGCCGGGAACCTTACAGGGCATTGAAGCCGACAAGACACTCTTGACCACTGGTGCTGAGACGAGGCTTTCACACGGCGGCACTAGCAGCTGCCTGTGCCCAGACGCAAGGAGAGGGCTGCCCGTGGAGGAGCTATTTTCAACTTTACGCGAACTCAGGTGCACTGCCACCTTTGAACATGGCAGCTGCATGGAGCATCCGCTCATCGCTCTATTCTCATCACCATTTCCTGATGGCGCCTCTGTGCAAGCATTTCTCAAGCCAACGCAGACTAGTGACTATGTCTGACTATGTCTGACTATGTTAGCTGTCTGCGCAGATCCGAAGTGTTGTGTTGAGGTCCTTCTCTTTGGTATGCACATGGGTGCTGCCTTCGGCAGGGGCCCCAGAATCGAATTCTCCTGTGCGAAACAGGAGACGCGCAATTGCCATGAGGTTTCGTTCTCTACTTCGCGATGATGAAATGGGCTGTGCTTGGCGCCGCCACAGCTACTCAGCCCGATTGCAAAATCAGCTGTGTCATCTCCGCATGCTCCGACTAACTCGCCATTTTGAAAATTCGCATCTGAGGTCGTTTTTGCTGGAATGCATCTCTTTGTGTGGTACCAGGCCAGGCGCCCGCCGCCACACCTGGATTGAAGCATGTCGAGACTCTGTGGCTGGGGCTGGCCTCCTGGTAAGGCAGAGTTCACAAGTGTGAGTTTGCTGAAAGCTGCACAGCCGCGGACCCGAATGTCGCAATCGACAGCTGATCTCCGTGCCTGGGGTGTCTAAGTCTTGCGACGTGCTTTTTGACACACAAAGGCTGCAGTGGGCCTGCGCACATCTGATTCCAATCCTCGGTGCCTCGGACAAGCTGAAACAGAGAAGACAAGAAATGTCCAGGGGTTCATGCATTTCTGTCAATGTACGTATGTACGTATGTGCGTATGTATGTATGTATGTATGTATGTGTACATGATAGAGTGTATATGAGCTTGATGGTGCGAGGAATGCTGATTTCTGCTTCTCTCGAAGTGGAAAGTGGCGTTGCTCGAGCGCTGGTGTTGTTCATTTGCGAATCGCAGGCCGGGACCGCTACTGCCAAGTTTGAGCAGTAACGCCTTGCATGACAGGAGATCATCCCCACAAAAATGTGCATTCGAATGCTCCTGAGCTCTGCTTAGCGGCGCCATGAAAATTGGCTGCGCCTCTCTAGACTCTAGTTTTCCACCAGAAACTGCTGGAGTCGGTGGAAAAAAGCTGCAGGTCCACACAGCTTCCGGCATGCCTCTGGAGTATCTCAATATATCTCCAACCATAATTGGGATCCTACTATAGTTACTATAGTGCAAGGTGTAATCCTTAAAGTCACAATCTCACAGCAGCTGATTACCTCTTTCACCGAAGGCTGGACCTGCTGAGGTTTGCTGCTTCCGGCAGGCGCAAGGGTCCAGAGCCGAAGCTTATTATTACTGATATCATTATTATGATTATCAGTATTAGTATTAATACTATTATTAATATTCTTATTATTATAATCATTAGTGACTTCGATGACTGAACGTACCATTACTAGTCTTGGTAGAATTAGTTTGACTATCACTATCACTATCAGTATTACCATTACTGTGACTGGTACTGTAGCTGATACTGATACTGTTATACTACTTTTGCGATTACGAGTACTAGTACTAGCATTCTCACTGAGTCGGCCGGGAGTGCTTTGAGCAGTCGGCAGTGAAGCCCGGAGGCCTCGAGCAAGCCTTACCTTGGACGACCTTCCATCGAAAGGGGTCTTAGACGCTCAGCTCATGTCACGCGTGTCAGCACGCTGACAAAACTAGCAAGAGTTCCTTGTCAGCTTGCAGAGCCCTCTAAGGAGCTGGTCTTCATGCGCGCTGTTGAGAGCCCGCATGGAGTTACGTAGCCGAAAAGACAGCTGTCTCTGCACCCAGCGATCGCTGCAACTGTGGTGCCATGGTAGTGTACAGCTCCGTCACAAGCCAGGGCATGCGTCGGACGAATCTGCAAGTTGGCCCGTCGGGACCTCAGACAAAGGCCCTGTGTTGATAGCTAGCCGAACTACCTAAAGTTCATGAGCCAATCTGGAGGCTGCTTTGTTGCGCCTGGCCGGAAATGCAGAGGCCGACTCGAGCACGACTGGTGTCCACATGTCCAAACTCGAAAAATCGTTTGCTGTTTATCCTTGATAGCTTGAGATTTGTAAAGCCTTGCTTAGAGTAAAGCCATCCGAAAGAATTGTGTCTTGCAGACCCTCGCTCTTGCAATGGGCTCAAGAGGTTGAATCACTGAACCGATTTGCTTTTACCACCAGGAAGGGGGGAGTGCCAGCTCCGTGCGATATGCACTGTGCCGTGCTGCTGCGCCATGCCTGAAAGAGGCTACATCTTCGATCGCAGAGCAAAGGCTTTTCTGCTGGGATGGCTTCTGGCTACGGCATGGCAGTGCGGTGCGCGCAGACACACAGAGTCAGATGACTCAGAGTCGTCTCTGCTACAAACAGTGGCTCTGGCGCACTCAACTGGCCCCCAAAGAGTCGGATCTGCCATGACAAACTTCTCCTTCGATGCTGCCATCAACTCGACCCAGAATGTCGGCAACAAGATGAAGCAGCTTTTTTGGGCTGGGAAGCTGGGGAGAAGTGGCTCGTACGTTCTGGAATCATCGGGTCTGCAACAGTCGACAGGGACCAATGTGTCCAACGAGAAGTCCAGCTGGCTTGAACGGTCTGCAGGCTTGATAGGCAGGGATGGAGCATACAGCATACATAAAGTAAATCAGGGTGCAGGCATGATAAGCCGTCGCAGCATGGAGAGCCCACCGAGCATGGACGTTGTTTCGTGCAGGTGCCATGGTAGCGACCGTCTCCATCACAATGGCAGACATTCTCTGGATGATTCCCTACATCACCAACGAAGTCACAGGTCCTCTGGCCCAAGGCTTAGGAGGCTTAGGAGCCCTTCCAGCTCTTCCTTGATTTACATCATTCTGTATGGACTTTCCGATCAGTCCCTCAAGCCCACCTCACATCAGCAACGTCTCCGGTCTTGCATGCTTGCTGATGGCTGATGGCAGATAGTAGAATAAGGACGTTGGAACTCGCTGTTCTTCGTGGCGCTGCTCCAAGTCTTGGCCACCCTCTCTATCCTGCTGGCGGATGAGGAGGACCAGAGCTTGAAGCGCGACTCCCATGCACAGAGGTGGATCGACGTCGCCAGCGCCGCCCGACACCAGAAGTTCCATGCCAGCCATGCCACACCCGACACATCCTGAAGGCATCTCCTGAAGCCCTCACAATGCTCAGGCCGCGCTTCTCTGGCTCTATGCTTTCTACCTGTACCTGGATGAGCATGTCTTCCAGAAGATGCCGCCGGTGCCGGAGGCCACCCCCGAAAGCGTGCCTTCGTTCGCAGCTTTCAGTCGTTCTAAGCTCTGGGTATTCGGATATACTACGTCTTGATCACCCAGCTCGTTTGGGTCGTTTAGTCGGGCGCATGTCTGGCTTTTCAAGCTTTTGGAAGCCTTGAGTGCTTTAGCCAAGAGGCACAGTCGCAAAGATCGAGTCAGCGAGCCAATGCTGAGAATGTTGTTTGCACGGTCGCATCTCAGGAAGCGCTCGACGAGACGAGCTGTGACGCAGCTCGTGGTGCGACAAAGTACAGCAGAGGTTGCTCGACTTGCCTGGACATGGTAACCAATAAGCACTCTCACAGGTGGGCCTTATTGCTCCATGTTGCTCCATGTCCATTCAATATGTGCAGCCGTTGACTTTGTAGACATGCAAGGAAGGTTTTGTATCGTGTTCCATCGGCTAAGAGCTTCGGTTGCCTAGTGTTGTCACTGTTCCGAAGATGTTGGCAATGATCTTAAGCTGCCTTGGTAACGACCAGTCACGCTTCTCGTGGGCCTCGGATGAGGTTCCTTTGTCGTTCTCGCCCTTCTGAACTCGGTGGACCAGGTGATCGTCTTTGTGCCTTTGGTCTCCACCGGCATGGTGACGGCCATGGAGCTTCAGGTAGCTTCATCTGCAATTCGTAAGTTTCAACCGCCAGGCATGGACATGTCCTTGAGGGGATCAAGGATCAAGGGTAGGCTTCTGCCAGCAATGTGTTGAGAAGGGCAACTCGCCATCTCATAAGAGATCAATGCTCCCCACAGTCTGTGCGTCGAACCCTATACTTCTGTCCGTCTGGCGGGCGGACGATGTAGCCCTCGGACCGAGGTGGGCGTCCTCATCAGCTCCACTTTGTCAATTGCAGCATGCATTACGGCGGGGCAGCTGACGTGCGTGGTGGACACCATCAATGCGTGGGATCCGAGTCGCATCAAAAGGGCTGGTCATGAGCTGAGATTCTAGCAAAAGCCCAGCGCTGAAACGGGGGAAACTCAGGCCATCCCGCTCTGGTTGCTGGTGACCTTCGTCGGGATCGGTGCTTTTGTTGGTGGCTTCATATCGGCCTGAGCTGCAATGATCCCCTAAGAGGCTTTGCCGAGTCTTGCCTGGCAGTTTTGAATATTCCTGCACAGCGAGTGCAGAAACGCATGCGTCGAAAACGATGCAACACAACACGGCCAGCCAGTCATTGAATTCGCGCTCACGTGCGAGAGTGGCAAAACATGGTCTCCATCAAACGAGGGATGGCAAGAGCTGCAACGTGTCCATTGCCTGTGTTGTCGGCCACAGGACTTCTCCACGAAAGCCGTGATTTTCGCGGGAAGCCCAGCCCCCCTTTTTTGGACTATGACTGGCAGGAATGGACGATTTCTGGCCGACCAAGACGCATCACGTGAGCTGACAGTAGGATCATGTAGGAAGCTCCCCAAACAACCGGCTCCATGTTCCTGATCTGTGCCTGCGATAATAACAGTGAGGTTAATGATGATCCCGACCTGGCGCGAATCAGTGTCCAGGCAGTCTGCCAAGTTGTTTCTTGAAGTAAAAGGGCTTTGATGTGCCGCGTGTCCAGGAACAGCGTTGATAATCGAAGACCACCGAGACCAGCTGTCCTAATTCCTTTCACATTTGTGCAAGCCGAGAACTTCTGGCACGATGCAAAGTCAAGTTGTGTGCATTAGTATTGGACTTTGAACACTCGATGGACCACGGAAGCAGGTTACTACTATAATCATTTGGCGAGACTGTGTCCGGATGAGTCATGATAGGTCTTGAGTTGTGATCGTTCAAAGAAGCGGGCTCCATAATCGCACCTGGTTAGTGAGAACCGTCTTTCCGTCCTCGCTGCTGTTTACTGGCGGAGCCAGAAGATGCCTCCTGCTCGGCCCGCAGGTTGCTGCAAGCAACTTCTGCATTGAGCTTGAGGACGCGATGCAGAGAAAGGCCTGACCTTCTCCTCCCATCACACCCCGTTCAGGATCTCGGGCTGACACCGTCCACACGAGCACATGCGCATTAACAGCCTTTCCAGCCGTTCTTTAATTGGGAAGTGCTGCAAAGACCGGCACTTGAACCTCCTGCGACAAGTGCCGACATGAGAAGCTTCAAGCGAGGTTTCAGCCACAACCTTTAGCCACGTGCGATGGGCTTTGCAGTGGAGTGGACCGCGTTCATCGTAGGGTGACTTGTCTGTCTGCAGGGGTGATTGCTTGTCCGGTAGCTGCTTGCTTTCGGTGTTTGTTGGCACTTCTGGGTGTGCAGGTTTGCATGCTTGTGTTATGCCAGTTGCAGCCTGCGCCCTGCGCTTGTGTGCATGTTTGCTCCAGTCAGGAAGCAGTCGTGTTTTGCACACACGGCTTGGGTTCTCGCGTGTCCCGCCCTGCCCGCCCAATGTCACGCTCTGGGAGGAGTGTTAGCATTCGCCCGTGCTTTGATGTGCGGGTTGCGATTCTGGCATATGTGTATGCCATTGTGTGAATCTGCTGCCCATATGTTATGCTGCATCATGCTACCATGTATTCCCATTCGCGAAGAAAAGGAGTGCTCTTGCATTGCTGCGCATTTGATGGTTTGCGGCAGTTAAGTCCTGTCTGACTGACATGTCCCCCCAGGCATAGCTGACAAGAAATGCATCCCTGCCGGATGCTACATAGAAACTGAAGTGTGCCTGAACATTCAATTCCTCTGTGCGATTCGTTGTCTTGTGCAGGTGTGCCTGGTGGATCATGCCGGCTCCTTATACAAGATGGGAGGTGCAGATTTGGGATGTCAGCCGTGTCAGATGCCCCAGACTACAGCTGGTAACGTCCGCGTGAAGAGGTGCGGGTCCTTTGCGGTACTCGCCATCTCAGGCTGGCGAGCTGTACACAGAGCTGAGCGCAGCTGACCACTGGGCCCCGGGCTCGGGCTCAATGCTCTCGATGGCTCGTAGTGTTGCGGAGCCACTGCTAAGTGCAAGGACACCGCGGTTTGTTCGGGTGCCCAGCTTCGGCGAACGGACGGGACGCGTCTCTTCTCTCAGAGTCGGGACAGAGGAGAGCCCAGAGCCCCGAGCCGAGTGGAGAGCCGAGGCCCGAGTTTGCCTCGGCGTCGCTCCGCCGTCAGGCGCAAAGGGAAGGGCTGTGTGATGCGGAAGCTTTTGAGACTTGAGGGCACAGCTTGGGGGGCAGGCTTGGCTGCTTGCAGCTCAGGCTGGACCCCGAGGCTCCGACTCTTTTGACCCTTTAAGACCAAGAGCTTACGGTATGCTTCTGCCAGAGCTTGGCGGCTTGGCCTTGGACCAGGAGGCGCTGATGGTCACGGACTTGCTCCTCAGTTTCCTGGAGCAGTGTGACATGCCCGCGGAGCTGTGAGGGTCCTACACCACACGAAGTTTAGACTTTTTGTGGACTCACTGATCTGATCTGACTGAGGCTAGCTGACCTTCTCTCGCCAAAGCACGCGGATGGTCTCAGAGATTTACTCTTAGCCAGGGCCTCAGCCAGGATGAGACCGCCCCCAGATACAAGCATGTAAGCATGTCATACCGCAGATCCGAACTTTCGCCAAGGCTCCGGATGGGATAGCGATGCCGGTGACCTAGTCTGGAGTGTGGATTGTGAAGGCTACCGGCTACCGCGAGCGTCCAGTCGCCACTTTGCCAAGGCCAGAGTCTCCACCGTGGCCTCCGGACTTGTCACGGACTCAATGATCAAAGCACAGAGAACATGAGCGCTCAGTTGGGTAGAGAAGAGCCAACGAAGGAGCCTCACGTGCTCGGCAGGGGGCCCCAACTGAGGGAGCGTTCCAACAATCTAGGCGGGGCAGTTCCTCTTGGCAGGACACTGTGCGCGTGCTCCTGCCCTGTGGGGTCCGGCTCTTGGCTTGCGAATTGCAACGCCGTGCCATCTGGCCTGAGACCCAACGCCTGCTCTGCATTGCTGGTTTGTGAAGTGCTGAAGGTGTTGCCACCGTTGGCGCTGAGCTTTGACATCTGCTCCCAGCGGGTGCCACGGCAAGAAGTTATGTCAGCTTGGTCCTGCGCTTCTGTTTCCTTCCTGGGTCCTTTGAGGCTTGTGAGACAGGAAGTCTGGCGCTTCAACTCCGTGTCTCGGCGTGAAGCACTGCTGCTGTGCCTTCACCTGCACAAGAAGCCGACTCTCTGGGAATCATTCCGCATGCACCCGTGCAAACACGATCCACGGGGTTTGGGATGAGGCAGTTTCCACGGAAGCTGCTCTGGGCTGAAGCCGCTTGGCGGTCAGCACATGTCCGTGCCATCTGCAGGCGACCTGACCACCTGGTTGTTACCTTCTTTGCCTCCTCTGTGGCCTGTCGACTGGACCCCAAAGAAGAGGTGCGGGGGCAGGGGAAGGGCCCGAAGCCCATACAGAGGGCCTTCTCTTGCCATGCCAGGATGGTGCACTGCCCGTCCGTGCTCTTGTCTGTGACGCAGCAGGCCTCAGCTGAAGTTTCACGAAGTTCTCCCAATGCCTGCGTTGTCGGATTTCTCAGGAGCTCTCGGTCCAGCTCTCTGCTCTGAGCTTCTCCTTCGCACCCATGGCCCTGACGCTGCTGACGCGCGGCCTCCGCCGCTGGGGCAACGCTCAAAAGGACTTGCAGCCCCAAGCCGAGAGCAAGTAGACTGCCATCGCTGGCATTGGGAGGATGTCGCTCCAATCATGGAGAAGCGCAGCACCTTCAGCAGTTCCTTCGGAAGTTCAGGCGTGGGAGATGCGTTTCGGTTTCATGCAATGTTGGAGTTGCCGCAGCGGAATCTGCAAGAAATGCAAGCCACACCTCGAGGCGAACTTGCGGCATCTCCGAGAGACTGGCACTTCACCTTGCGGGTGCACGTGCCGCAGCTCGAGCTGGAACTCCTGCTCGCAGAAGTACCGGCGGCCAAGCTGCAAGCTGCAAGCTGCAAGCTCTTGCTCTGTCTCTGTGCCGCGAAAAGGTCATGAAAGGCCGTCTGCAACAGTGGACCGTCGCCTTGGAAGGCAGAAGATCCTCGAAGTTCGGGAGAGTCTTCGCAGAGTCGAGTGCCCTTTGATGTGAGCTCTGCTCTGCTGAGAGGCGCGTGCAGCAGCGGCCTCAGCATTTCCTCTTCTCTCGACTCGGCCTTCCTTTGGGTGGCCGGGTCGAGCCGACCTGTGCTGAAGTTCCTGGGCGCCTCCCATCTCTCGATTGCCCTTCCGCTGGGGGAATCAGCCTTCAAGGAGGAGACTCCTCGACTCAAAGCATGGCAAAGACATGCGAAAAGAGTTGATCAAACTCTGTTGAGGAGCTTGCGGTGCGCTGCCTGGTGGCCCCGCTTTGGGCATGCATCGATTGCGCGGCCTTCTCTCTGGCGCTCGATTTTCTGACAGAGCTCGAAGAGGCAGCCAACTGTAGCCAGACCAGTCGGGCGATGATGCTGCTCTGATCAGGATCCTTGCTAAGATATTTGCTGCTTTGCGTTGCTAAGAGAACCTTCGCTTGAGAAATGCGACAGGGTGAAGCAGTGCTTCGGCCGCAGAGCATGTCTTGAAAAGAGTGCATGTCAATCAGAGCCCGCGTCCTCCCGCTCCAATCACTGCGAGCGCCACACAGACACAGAAGAAGCGAAGTTTATGGAAGACGCCTGTGCAAAACCTCACGAGAAATGCGGCAAGCACAGTTGATTCTGTGCGACACAAATGTCAGGAGTCATGTTGCAGTCTCGCAGAACAGGTTTCGCAGAGGGGTTTGAGATGCACATCAAAGAAGTAAGGCTTGCGTGGTGTGCTCATGGGCTCTAGAATCTAGAATGGACCACCTCCTGCTGTCACACAATTCAAGTCCGCCATGCAGGCATTTGCCAGCAACTCGTTGGCGTGTGAGTCCACCGTCGACTTGAGCGATCACCAACTACCGGCGCAGATGTACTCACCGCCACTGTCCAATGCCGTTTGCTGCAGCTTGTCTGGAAGTGTGACCTGGGTAACAGAGTAAAGTCAGGAATAGTCTTGCAATGTCTTGCAGTCATCTGCCACGAGGCCTTTTGCCAGAATGCTGCTATCGGTTGCAGCAATGGGACGTGCATCTGGCATTGACCAGCCTTTCCATCT